CCACACGTTGTCGTGTGGGCGGCAGACGGACCGTCAGCAGACGAAAGGAATCTATCCATATCCACGCAGTAGCGGTTGCAGCAGCAGCATCAGCAGTAGTGGCAGACCGCTCTTTGTGCAGTTCTACAGGTGTGCTGCACGATTTTCTGGGGGGCCCCGCAGTATATAAACTACACCCCCCCTCATATTGTATATCTGCGGGGCACCAAGGTTCGGAATTTGTTTCGTCTTTATCGCGGGGAGTTGACTTAAGATGAGCGTCTTTAAAGCGGGGACGACTGTATTCCCTCTTTTTTTGTTTTTTTACTATTTTCTTGCCAACACTCGGGCTAACGTGATAGTTACCCCGGTTCTTGCGTTGTTTCCCATAGAGTTGTCGTCTTGTCCCGGAGCGGTGTGGCCCTCCATCTCTGGACTCTCTCCTTTCCTCTCTCTGGGGCGTACCCCCACGGCGTGCGGCCACTCCGCCACCCTCACCGTGCTCTCTGCTGCTGCATAGCCCCGGTGTCCAAGCCGGGGCGTCAGGATCCAGTCTCATTTTGCAGCTACCAAAGCTGGCGGCTCAGGAGCTACCCCGATCTCACGACAGCAGTAACTCCCAACCCTCTAAAGAGTGCTAGGGACCGTATATCCGTTGTTGCTGGGTGGTCTTTCGAGGTCTAGATCCACTTGCGGAACCTCGGCCTACCCCAGGGACGGGGGGGGCAGGCCGGGGAGGAGCTATATAGAGTGTGTTTCGTAACGGGAAGTCTTTCAGGGATTGAATAGGCATATCAGCTCCCTCGCTCCGAGAATATATGGTCGGTAAGAGAGGTCCAGAATATACAAGGTGTATGTGCGTGACGGAAGAGAGATCATTGCTGGTGCTGCTCGGCATTTTGTAGTCGGGTGCTGCTTGTGTGGGCGCGGATTGATCGAGTTTCACCCGGTTATTCCGTGTCTCCTCGGGGTATTTACTTGAAGATAGACATAGTCTAATGCACACGATGCGTTCCGTGGATGGGCGCCTGTTGTTCGTTTCGTACATGCGTGTTCTCTCTAAATTCCTAATTAATTAACAGGAACTAATACACTGGAGTTCGTATTCCTATCTGTTCTTTTCTCTTTTACTTTGAGACCGAAGAAAACGGCAGAACAAATAACTTGCTCGAGATCGGACTTCATCGCTTTCAACACAGGAACGAGGTCGGAATATCTTCGTCCATTTCGCCAATCTGCGGATCTTCGCCCTCCCCATCTAACTCTTGGTCCGGCTGTGTGTCCGAGGCTAGTCTGAGGTCTGAGTCTGGATGTACAGCGACCAGGCCTGAGCGGTGTGGGCACCAGTTAGACAAACGAGGCAGCAGGGTGGGCGCAACGGGATGCTGGCGTGTTTTCGTGTGGTTGATTGTGCGAAAATATCTTGCCAAGATCTGTGACGCACCTGTCGGTCTTGGGCTGTACAGACACGCCCCCGTTCTGAGCACATCTGGAACACCGCTGTGTTAGCCATCACACCATCACAACAGCACACCATCACCAGCGTGCAGCAGTGAGGACAGGGAGACGGTCCACGCCAGGATCTCCTACTGGCGAGCTGTAACCTTGGACGAGTTCCGGGCAACGGAGGAGTATCGCCATGGCGCCAGCAACGTCAACAACATTGGAACAGGTGCGTCACCCGCGGAGTCTAATCATCCTCGGTTCACTCTGCACACAAGCACTTCTTTCGTGAGGAAGCGTTCGGAACTGTCCAGGCTTCCGCAGCATGCCAACAGCGCTGGTGATCCAGTCGTGGTTTGTGCTTGTTCATCTGTCCAACCTCTCGTTGTGGCCCTAGACTAGCGGCCCAAGACGCATGCATGCGGACGGGTGCGTGTAGTGCCTTTTTGAAAATGTAAAAACTCGTCTACGTGGTGTAAAAAAATGTTTTTGATTTGTTGCTCCGCCTGCATGCAGTTGTTGTGTGCGTCTCGCGCCAGGCGCGCACCAGGTCAAGCATCACACAAACCCAGCACGAACCTCTCCTACTCAAATGTGAATGGACGGCTATCTATGGTAGATCCAAGCGAGCTAGCTTCTCCTGCAGGCACCCACAGCAAGTAAATGTGTAAACACTCCATAGTCTACTGCATGAATATCGCAGCAGCTCCTAGCACCAAAAAATATTCGTGATCTTGGCTCCCACCAGAATCAACGCTCTTCAAGTTCCGACGCCACCACGACCGATGTCGACCGCAAATGGCCCCGCAGGTTGAGACAAACTCGATGGGATGCGGTGCCGTCTTTGCAGCAGTGAGCGTTGAGAACCCTGCCTGCTGAGTGAGCTTGCTGGAGTCTGAAATACTAGGGGGAACGATTGCCCCCCCGTCCCCCAGTAGGGCGGGCGGCCACCATATTCAGCTTCGCGAGCAGGGTCAAGGTTGAGACTCGGAGTCGTGAAATTTTTAGAATCAGGGAAACACAAGTCTTGAAGATGGATCGTGGTTTGTTAGGTGGGGCCGAACGTTTCCACGGGAGGAAACATCGTTGAGTAGGCTCGTTGTGTGAAAATTACCAAACAAAATCAAAGAACATCGCTCCCATGAATCCTGTCTACAGGCAATGTGTAACATCAACCGGGTCTAACTTTATTATAGTAGTTGTGGTAGTAGTAGTAAGGACAGGCACACGATCATATAATAATACAACACAACGAACCCTACGAGCAGGTACAAAGAGAAAGCGAACAGAAGAGTCTCCTGTGGAAAGCGCCTTCAATGAAGAAAAAGCATCTAGGTAAGAAGATGATAGGCCGGTTCGAACACAGTCATTATGCAGGATTCCAGGATCTATCATTCGAAAAAAAGTAACATTGCTTTCATCAACCCTGTCTACGAGCAATGTGTAACACCAACGTCGTCTAAACTTAATATCGTCGTCGATGTAGTGATAGTAATTACGGACACACGATGTCACAATAATCATACAATAATATCCGACGGCTCCGGGAGCAACAACGAAAGCGATGAGTGACTGCTTGTTTTCGAAAAATCCATTAATTTTCTTCCTCAGATGGTTTTCCTTCTTTGGCGTTTTCCACGGAATGTTAAAATTTGCTCGCTTAGAGTAGAGAATAATGCGTTGCGTACAATGAACACGGGGTATCTATTTCCAGTCCCACCTTTGAACACGATGTGGGAGTGCAGTAGTCCTCGCTTCTGAACGTGTGGCGGAAAGAAATTCATGCAAAGAGAGGAGCAAGATGATTGGCTGAAATAAACGGTGCGGACATGTTGATCTCGTGATGAGCATGCACCACATTTTGAACAGGAATAGAGATGCAGAGTATTATCACCTGAAACTCGATGACGGCGATGCGGAACATAATCTTGCCGAAGATTTTTGGTAACATCTGAAGGCGCGAAAGAAGGTTGTTGCAAGTGTGTGAAAAAATTGAAACTGAAGTATATTCGAAAATTGATGCCCACTGTTGATATGTGCTCCTGTATTATCATAGCGAAGGATATCATCACCTTAAGGAGTGCGTCTAGTTTTTGCTTGAAAACCCTCGCGCAAAGTTGAGCACGATCGAAGGCGGTCTGACCCGCATGGAGCTTTTGACGGATTTCCGGCCAATCCTGTTCAACTGTTGGACAGGCAAACGTTTGTGTCGTACACGTAAGCACCGAATAATTATTTGTCAGAACAGTACGAAAATAATATAATTCGTTGCAATTTTATGGCAGGGGTATCGATTATTATGGTAAAGGTTTACAATAGACGTATATATGATAAGTACTCACCGTGTTGCAAGTGACCGTAAGGAAGTAAGATGGTCTACCAAAGTGGCGTAAAACCGCCATAGATAGCTTCCGTGAGTTTCTTGGCTTGATCAGCAAACCCGCCGCTGAAGCTTGATGGACGATAACAGTTTCGCCCGANTATATGATAAGTACTCACCGTGTTGCAAGTGACCGTAAGGAAGTAAGATGGTCTACCAAAGTGGCGTAAAACCGCCATAGATAGCTTCCGTGAGTTTCTTGGCTTGATCAGCAAACCCGCCGCTGAAGCTTGATGGACGATAACAGTTTCGCCCGAGTTGTGCGCCCGGGGACGACGTGCCAACGCCGAAGCGTGGTGCATCGAAGTACGATACTTGTCTTGGTTGTGCGCGTGAAACGCGAGGGGCTGATCTTCGATGAAACTATAAACGGCAATGAGGAATTCGTTCACCAAAGGTCCCAATTGTTCGAGCCGAGGTTCTCTAAACAATAACTGGGTCACCCATTGGGCCAAAGTAATTTTATGCCCAGTGGTGCTTTTCAAGTTTGGATGCCACCCGGAATCACCACCGTGAGGAAAGAGCAGGACAAAGTCAACGGGAAATAATCCCGATTGAGATAACTTATTGTTTGTGTCCCGCCTGTGAGTGTCCTCGTCATGGTTGACTTGTCTTTAGGCATTACTTCCCCGCTGTNACCCATTGGGCCAAAGTAATTTTATGCCCAGTGGTGCTTTTCAAGTTTGGATGCCACCCGGAATCACCACCGTGAGGAAAGAGCAGGACAAAGTCAACGGGAAATAATCCCGATTGAGATAACTTATTGTTTGTGTCCCGCCTGTGAGTGTCCTCGTCATGGTTGACTTGTCTTTAGGCATTACTTCCCCGCTGTGAGTGTCGACAGCCATGATTTCCGAAGAAGGGCCGTCTGGTGGATGGAACGCCAAAGATGATGAATGGCAACCGCCCGTGGCCTGGACAAATCGTAGTTAACGAAGCACGAAATATGTGGTCATTCCCATAAATGAGTACATCAGGATGTGGTAAAACATGAATCAAATGTTTCATGTTGAGTGTATTGTCGACACATACCGGAAATCCATGGCGGTGTGGAGACGATCGATGTAAGGAGATGTGGACCGCAAGGAGTCCCGTATTTTTTCCATGACGTCCTTGTCGAGATGGTCGGAAACGTAGTTGGGATCGTGCAGAAGCCACTGGACGTTCGAGTGCTGGCCATCTCTGACGGAATGGTATGTTCTGGAGGAAGTTTTGGTGTAAGGACGGACATTGTAGAACATGTAAAGAATGAATATTTTACTTCCATTGCGTCCATAGATTCAACAGGTCAGCGTCGAGGTAAGCGTGATTTGTAGTAATTCGGCACGGACGAAAATAAGCCTCTCACAATATGAAATATTATCTAAACTACTATCCAAGAAGACATGATGAATCTCTGTGTTTACAATGATCTACATAGTGAAACCCGAAGGCATCATACAATTTTCCTTGCTCACCTTCCTTGGACGGACAAAAAGGTGGAACATGTACAGAATGAATGTTTTACCTCCATTACACACACACATAGAATCAACAGGTCAGCGTCAAGGTAAACGCCTCACACAATATGGAATATTATCCTAAACTTCTACCTAAGAGGACATGTTCTTAGTGTTTACAATGATCTACACAGTGAAAGCCGCAGACAGCATACAAATTTACTTGTTCACCTTCCTTGGACGGACAAAAGGTGGTCGCCAATCATCTTCTTCAGTTCACCGTCCTCGACATTGGGCGAGGCGAAATTGCACCGGCAATAATTGCATTGTACATCCTGGCGTCTTTGTGGAACTTCTGAGCCGAAGGTTCAGAAGACTGGTACAGTTCACTCAACAAAGGAGGAAGTGGAGGAAGCCTGGGGAGTACGAATTTTCCGTTCTTGCTACAAATTCCCTTCGATTCTTTGGCGAACAGTTTCGCACCGCAATGGACGCAAGGATCAGTCATCTGGATGTTGACTCCCATGTCTCTTCGCGCTTCCTCCAAGGCAGAAATAGGGTTCTGGACAGCGTCTTGAAGTAAAGCCCCGTCGTTCACTATACCAAAGATGTTGTCGAAGCGTTGTCTCCGCGCGCGTATGATGTCTGTTCTACGCTTCCGGCGGATGGAGTTTAGTTGGTTTCGTCTCGCATAACGACCGTTTTTCCGATGAGCGTTGATGGCTGCGGTATTAGCAGCCCGAAAATCGCGCCATTGGGCGATACGACGTTCATGGCGTGTTCTACTGTTACTTGCCCGAACATTGATGTTTTCGCCGGCCATGTTTTACGTCTAAAAGATCATATCGGTAAAAATATGCGGCGTCCAGTATGTTAAAGAGCGCGAAGTATCGCGGGGCCGAAAAAGTAATTTGTCATTGTTTTGTTCATGTCCAGTTTTTGATGAGTTCCAGCGAGGTTGAGTAGTCACGAAGTGTATGGGCTCGCTATAAAAATTGAAACACCTTGTTGGTGGGAAGGTATCCACGAGTACGACGCTATCGGCAAGCAAAAGGCGTGCAAGACTTATCGGCCCAAACAGAGGCGAATCTCGATTGATGTGTAGGCTCGACGCTCGCTATAAATATAAATATTGATGGCGTGGTCCGTATTAATTATCATTTTTCAAATCGCCAAGCTTCCGCTGATCGATTTCTGGAAGGTGGTCCATATACGTACACAGTGCTCGTTGCAGAACTCACGACAATGTCGAGGTTTGCGTCCGCGTCGCATATACGTACACAGTGCTCGTTGCAGAACTCACGACAATGTCGAGGTTTGCGTCCGCGTCGCATATACGTACACAGTGCTCGTTGCAGAACTCACGACAATGTCGAGGTTTGCGTCCGCGTCGCATATACGTACACAGTGCTCGTTGAAGAACACACGACAATGTCGAAGTTTGCGTCCGTGCGGCGTATGCGTGTCGCTGTGATTAAGGGTCATTGTTTACAACAACCATACCATCCGAACAAGGTGATGCAGAGTCCTACGTATCGTGTCGACCAATGCCTGCGAACGAACGCGTACGCACAGAATGTTCCTAACGTCTCATACCTCAACGTGTCCAAGATGCTCGGTTCCATCAGAGGGTGTGCAGTAGTTCGTAGGGTGACGGAGACGGCAGCGTCCCGGCGATGAACGCGTCCCAGGTAGACGGCATTGACAGTTGGGAACCGATGGTGTGCGGTGAAATTTTTTTTGCAAATCGGTGATCTGATGTTTGAATGTATTGGATCGCAAGAGCATGATGATGTTTGATTGTTTGATGTACGAATACGCCTCTGTCATATCCACCGTTCCTGTTGCCTACAAGACACACGTGGGACGACACAGCTTGACAAGGCGCTCCCGCGAGGTCACAAGGAGTCGCGTTGTTTGTAGTGTACGGCAATGGTATAGTGTCTGTAGGATGTTGTTGATGTTGCAGGATGCATACTGCTTCCTCCACTGGTTGTCGGCAGAAGCGCATGTGGCCTGTGGAGCTTTCGAAGGAAGCGGGATGCGATGTCTCCAACACGGCGTTGGTGGCGACAGACATCCACATGTGTTCTTTGTTGTTTACAGAATGCAGCAGCGATCCACGCGGGTTTTGCTGTTGTACGTGTGGCACTTGTGCAATGTCGACTTAGTGAAGAAGAGAAACATATGAACGGCCGAAGCATTGGAATGTGTATGTGTAATACGTTTGAACAGGACCATGACCATATGTGAAGACACCAGCGAGCGATCGATGGATTTCACATGGGATCGCCATTAAACACTGCTGTTAACGTTCCTACAGCGGCCGGGAACAACTGAGTTCTTCCCAACAATCACCAAGTACACGGAAGCGCGATTTCTTGGCATATTCACGTGCGAGACGTTGCGCGGGATCGCGTGGCCAAAAAAAAATATCGCAGCCGTGTGGGTCCAGTCTAAAATCAAGTCTAATGTGGTGTCACCATCCTGAGTATATATATAACATGACGAGGGATGATGCCAGCCGCTACAAAAATACTTGGTTGCTTAGAATGTAGAAGTAGTCTACACGTTACGTGTACAGGGACGCGCCAGTTGGTACGATACAGGGCCACACAGCTCACAGAAAATAAGAGCCAAGATCTGAGATACCTACTAGTCTACACGTTTACCCTGCACAAGAATCGCTCGGCACTGCTGGTTCAAGTCACATGCAGTAAACAAGACCGACATCGGGTACGAAACAGGAGGGACACCAGTGTAGACTGAATCATTACACCAAGGGTCCAGCAGCAAGGCTGGCGCCACGTGAAAGAGGACACACTGCAGGAACAAGTGTGTCTTGTTACACTGCCTGCCCCGTCAGGTCTAGTCCAGATGCATCGCGTGCAATCAATGCAGCAAGCAGCAGCATTCTTTTCCAGCGTTGTACCCCGACATCTCGACATACTCGCGGTAGACTATTGATATCGCGAGTTTGTCTGCAACACCAAGAGGAGCATCGCGTGACAAGCACCTTCCTGTGCTTCACATTTTCCTAGGTTCTTGGCGATAATTTTGGATTCATGTGTTCGCACTCGACAACAGGCTCCTGGCAAGCGGCCGGCGACACCCCCTTCATTCGCTGCCTCCGGCTTGCTGGTGCCCTCTGTGTTCTGGTTCTTGGGCGTCGTCGTCGGGAAGGCGTCGGGATGGAAAGAGTGCTCCATTTCGCCGGGGGACAGGTGGAGCCCGGCGCCATCGAGGACTTCGACTGCCGCGCTGAGGATGCGCTTCGACTACGAAAGGCGGTACACTTGCGAATCCAAACCCGGTGCGCGCCAGGTGGACAACGAATGAGAGCATCAAGCTGAGCCCTGAGTACAAAGTAGAATGGTACATCTGGTTCTTCAGACATACACGTTATTACTCGACAACTGCCAGCCTTACCTTACGCAAATCTGCCGTGGCAGCCCGTGCACGTACGTTCATGCCATCTCCGACCAAATACCGCTCCCGTCCCCAACAAACAGCGTTTCGTCGCCCCACTCCCCCCCAACGACATGATCATTCTCGGCAGCCTCCTATTTGGCAGCCTCCTACTACTTCGACTCTACCTGCACGACAAGGCGGTTCCCTTCCCCCCCTGACGTCACTTCGGTGAGTGAGCGAACCTTCTAGTCTGACATTTGCTGTTGTTTGTAGTTGTTGTTGTTGTTGTTGTTGTTGTTGTTGCTGCTGCTGCTGCTGCTGCTGCTGCTTCCTTCACATTGCTTGTAGGAGCAGAAATAAATATCGATCGCTCCTCGGTACGGTACGTGTTTAAGTTTTTGGTGGGCGCTTTTGAAAACATATAAACAACTGCGACAACTCGAAGCAGGCAGGTGGGACGCTCAGGACAGCGCTCTCGGAAGACACATTCTCCCCCGTTTCTCGTCAAGGTTTTGGGTAGGGCACGAAGAACAGCCCGCTTCATTGTTGATTTGGGGGGGTCGGTCTGATGCGCAAGCGAGGAGGAATAACGACGACTCCCCCGCTTCTTCTTAGTTCCTTCGTGGACTGAATTTCTCTCCAACAACGCCTGAAGAAATTGCTCTCCGGAAATTACATACACTCAAAGAAAATGTTACCCGTTCGCGGGGTATCTTGCCGGAACAAAACATAGCAACCTGTTAAGGCTCTGGCGTTTGCCAGGCGCACCCGGAACACTTCATCGTCTACGCAAAGGTAGTTCGACTCACGACGTTGATTGCTTCCCACCTCATATCGAAGTGGAAAAAAAGAGGGAATGGAAGCCACGACCTGCTTCTTGTAGGTTTGCGAGGTTAACCAACTATTGATAGAGCAGCGGAGCGACCACGTGTTGCGTTCTTTCCTGCAAAAAAAAAACAACACAAAATAGCGACGAGAGCGCCGCAAGTGCGTCGCATCACCCCCTCCTTCCCCCTGCCAGGGGTCTGGATTTTTCGGACTTCCACTGAAACTTTACCGGTGCCCTCCCTCGGACAATCTTGGTCCTCGCCTTCGTGCTGGCGCTGGCTGAACCAGTGCTTGAAGGGGAGACGAGTGATTTTCCTGGGGGACTCTCTGTCGAACCAGCAGGGGGACTCCCTCATGGGCATGCTGGGCTGGCATCCAGATTGGATGACCAAGGGGGCCCCGCGAAACAGCAAGGTGGAGACGACCGAGATCTACCGTAGCTCAGAAGGGGGAAAAAAACTTTCGTGGGGGTCTGAGGATTTAGTGCGTCGGGAACGAACGTGTCTCTTGTTCCCTTGCGTCCATTTCCTTCCGGTAAGACACCCAAGTGTGTTGCATTGAGCCGCCGCCCCCGAAGAGGATGCCGTGAGTAGATTGGATTAGATACCTCGTGTTCACGCGTCCCTTGCCCCGCCACTTTTCGTTCCGCTCCGGTTACTGCTGCTCCCGGGCAGCTGACTATTGAGGACGGATCGAAGCATTTTACCCTGGTTGACTGCTATCACCCTTCAATCGGTAGAATGGAGAGATGCTACGACTGTTCCACTAGCGACTTCCCCTCGCCTGCAGCTTCAGATCGCCCGGTGTCGCGAGCGGTAAGTCAGGCGACAAACCTGGAGGAATGCCTCCCTTGGGTTTCGAAACGATGACGGATTGAGACTAAACGGCGCCGTTAACTTTGGGCTATGCTCGTGGTCATATGATAAGATTCGTTGCAGACAAGACAGTTCGAGAGAATGGTGTACCGTTCCGTGGATATGGTCTTTGAGGATGCAGGGCTTGCGCAGAAATTCTATCCTCGAAACCACACTTGTGGAGGTGCCTCGTTTCTGAACTTGAAAATGTTGAAATGTTGACAGTGAGCTCCAGTTTCTGAAGGGATTTCACCTACGGTTCTCCGTAGACTGGCCTCCGTCGGCACATACAAAGGGCGCCATTGTCAACGCTGCAGTCACTACCATTACCTCGCACTCATAACATATGGGCGTAGAGGTAGTGTTGTAGCAAAGGCTGCATGGGTCGGACATATCGTTGACGTTATATTCTGACTTGCATTTTTCTTTGAGTGGCGCTCTCTCCATTTCTGTCTCCTCACGTTTCCATCTCTCGCTCCCTCGGGGCTGTCAACCCTCTGCCGCCCCTCTGGTCTCTCCTCACCTCTGCCTTCTTGCCTGACTGCCCCTGTGACCGACCCTATTTGCCGCCCAGACACAGAAGAAATCGCGAAAAAATAAGTTAATCCGTGCTGGGGAAACATCATCGGAAAAGCTAAAGCAGTCCATGCGCGGCAGGACAACTACCTCGATTAAGACCGCCAAACCCAAAGGCACAAGAGGCCTCGGACACAAGAGGCACAAGAGCAAGAGGCACGGGCGATGGTGGCGGCGGGGAGAGGGGCACGGACGGCACGAGGACGAGGAGGAGGAAATAGAGGAGGATGAACGAGCGGAGGAAGAGGAGGCAGAGGAGGACGAAGTGGAGGGGTACGGGGAGACTTTCGACGTCGATGGGAATGAAATCTCGGTGCACATGCGGATGCTTTCGAGGCCCAGCGGCGAGCACTGGTGAGAGAAAGTTGCAGAGAGAAAAAACTTGTTGCGCCAAGTTCATTGTCCTCGCCCCAGCCCCCCGCAGAAAGCAGGAAAATCGGCGCAGGTAACCGAAAGCGTGTGCTCGTCCCCACATCCTGGCAAGGGTCGTTGCTAGGTACCGTACGTGGCACATTATTTATGCAACGAAATGGTGGCGTCTTGACCTCATGGGAGATACAACGAGAGGCTTTTATGTCCCGCTCGTAGACGGGCGCTCTCGAGTACTCGAAGCGACAAGCGAAGAAGTGGGATTAACCACAAGCACGATCGGTGCATTCATGATGAGGCATGATGCGAGGGGTGAGGATTAGTTATCGGTACACCTTGTAGGGCGAAGGAGGTCGAAACCTCCCAGTTTTGGGGATGGAATCATGGTTGAATCGTTCCCAAGGGGCCAAAAGATCTGAAAGCAAGACATGCTGCTCGAGAGAAGTCTACCGCCGCCGCGTATTTGCAGACAGCCACCAACCAATGTTGCGATCTGTGTGCCATGCTGTGTGTCTGGCGTTGTTGTGGGGATGTTTCTTCTCCTGGTGCCGCAGGGTGTTGAAGGCCGCGAGCGACTTCAACGGGACGAGAGCGTCGGACGTGTTCGTGGTGAACTTCGGGGGTCACTACCACGACGTCCCAGAGGACGACGAGGAGTTCAAGACCGACATGATCCCCGTCCTCCAAGACATGGCGGTTCTGGGCGAAAATTCCACCGTCGTTTGGAGGTAGGTACAGAACGGGAGGGGTCTGCTGCTACCCAACACATTCAACTTGGGGATTCGCCTGAAAATTCCAATTTTTTTCCGTTCTTCTGCACTGATTGGGTTCGCGTGAGAGGGATAGAGGAGGGTCAGAGAGGCTAACCGCCACAGGAATTGACCAGAGAGATACAGTCTCCAAACAGAAAGTTCGTATTTCCGAGACGGAATGTACGCCTTCCCCACTGTCTCCCCGTTTCTCAAGGCCGGTGTCAATTGATTCAATTTTCGGACGGCAAAAATAGACCATATGACCTCGCCAAGATCTCTCGTTCTGTTTTTCTCTCTCTCTCTCTCTCTCTCTCTCTCTCTCTCTCTCTCCTTCGTGCAGAGAGATCGCCCCGACCCACTTCCCCGCCGCGAATGGGTCTTACGACTCTTACGCCGACATGGACGCGAAAGATCTCACACCGAGGTGCACTGGGACTCCACCCAAGGTTTTCGACCGAAATGAGGTGAGCTGTTGTTGGTGCTGCCCTTTTCATGTTTTCTGGTGCTCCGCCTCTTGAAGTTGTACACGGCAGTCACCCGGTATTGGACTTCTCAATGTGTAGTTCAGCCCACGCCGACGACGCCCTCGCGACCGGATCGCCTGGGCGGTAACACTATATAGTCTACCGCCTCAACAACTACTGCCCCTCGTTCTGCATGAAGTATTCCCATAGGAGAAACAAGCTCTCACTTACCGAAGCGATCGTTCACCAACCACTCGACGAAAAACTGCACCCGGGGCGATCTGTTTGGGGTGGTGGGGGGGGGATCTTCCAGGTGTTCCTGAATGTGACCAACCGCATCATATCTGGAAGTTGTTCGCCAAAAATGGAAAAGCAGAAAATAACAAGAACAACGTTCCGATCGTCTCGGGTCCCTGGCAGGCAAGCCGGGTGCAAGCTCGATGGAGGCTGATGGAATGACAAGCGTAAACAGCGTACACACGAGCTGGGCACGTTCCTGTTTGAATCGCGCAACGACCTAGATAAACACACACCGAACCCGACCTCCCGGCCCTTGTTTTGTCCGCCGTGTTCAGTGGGTTGAGAACTACGTGCGCGACAACGGCCTCGAGGACAGGATCAAGCTGCTTCGAATCTACGACATGTCGGTGCCACGGGGGGCGGCCCATCACACGTGTCACTTTGCGCCAGTGAGTGCGTGGGCGGTACCACATGTGTGTAGACGGACACGCGGCCTTCTCGAAGAAATTGGCGGTTACGGCGGCTCAATGATGCCTGCCACACTTATCACAGACCCTCGTCGCCCACATATTGAATGTACGACGACACCGGCTTTGGTGAATTCCACAATCTGAAATAACACAGACCACGTCGACACCAATTGAACATGCCAATGGCACCGGAATGGATGACTACTACAAACTGCCGCAGCCTGCGGGTCTTCAACAACGCTTCTTCTTCTTCTCCGCCTGCCGCGTGCGTGCGTGTCACTTTTCGCGTGTTCGTTTCCGTTTCGCAGCCGTCGACCATGAAACAGCCCCGAATGAGGAACTACGGCAGCGGTGCGGCTTCCGGTCCGATCGACTGCAGGCACTGGTCCGAAACCGGCGTCGTCGAGGAATGGAACACCCTTATGCTCAACCACCTCTGCCCGATAGAGTGACGTCACCCTCTCAGTTCATTGGCGCACTCTCCCAGAGGAGGAGCTGACTTCATTGGTTGGCGGTTAACCATGCAGCAGTGAAAATGAGGAGATTATTCCACGGCCCAGTAGAGGAGGACTGTTTCGCGCGCTTGGTCGAGAGTCACCATGACCCCCCTGGGCCGTCCTTTCTGCGGGTTGGCAGGGTGTTGCAATGATGCTTTCTGAGCATCACTTGGGCAATAACCCGATACCGCAGCCTTGCCACGGCGGCACGGTGTGCGGGGTCTCGAGGCATGTTGAAACGTTCCTTTTTTTACGATGCGCGCGAGGCGATTCGATTGGTTGAAGAATTTAGTGGTTAGAGTTTGCTTGGTACCCATGTGGGGTAGCCTACAATATTTGATTGGTAAATGTTTGCCCCCGAAAGACGACTGACTATGGATATCATTTGGAACCTGTTCGGAGTATACTTTGTCGAGTTTTGTGTACTTAACCTGGTAGTGTGGATGACGAATGAAGGTCGGCTATAGAGGACGTAGAGGTGGATGTACACATTTGATACTGGTGGATGGAGCATTCGTGTTTTGATTTATTGGGGCGATCGATGACTTGTTTCCGTATCATCGAACCTGAAGCTTCATGTACGTGTTGGCTTGAGAGTTGATCGGCGTCGCTTCCTTCGGTAGGCGAACCGTATGTCTTGCAATGCTCGGCATCTTGCGCCCTGGTGGCGCGACGCTCGTTTTGTCCGTTTTGGTGGTGGTAGCTTGAATCGAGCGATAGCCATCAGCCTCAAGATTTTCGGCAGCGCAGCGTGCTGTGCAGGCGTAGTCTTCTAGTGTTTGTATGTAGAATGTTGACATGAATACTGATTGTTTCGTGCCTCACCTCAATCTGACGTTACACCCTGAATTTCGAGAAAACTCTTGTCAATATGCGTGTTGTGTGTATGCGTATTACCTGTGTCCTTTGATAGCTGGTAACAAGGAATGTGTCTCTGTCATATGGTGACCACCTGCTGCCCGTGTTTGTTGGTGTGGTCAGGAAAAATAGTGTGGATGGATATTGTCGTGTTGTCGTCGGTGAAAAGCCCTGTTTGTGTGTCGTGAGGCTCGGTTTTTGTTCAGCCCTTCAGCGTGGCCGTTTCAAGTCGATAAGGGAGGATCACAGGGTTGCGGGTAATCGCGTGGTCATTTGTTCAGCACAGGTGGTTTAACTATTAATTCTTGCATCTTGCCCACGTGCGGGCAGGCCATCGGATCAGGATGCCCCGGCTACGTAGTGCCATGTAATTCCTATATATCCGTTTAAACGTTGTGAGATGCTGATCTTCATTTTCTTACAAAGCCGCGATCCTCTTGTCGTCGTACATGACCGCGAGTTGATCTACAGCAAGAAGTACATCCTTGATTCTTTCATCACTTTTTGTGCTATTTAGAGGCAGGCGCAGCTCTTCTCCCAAGCGACAACGGGGTGATAAGCGTCGAAGAAAGTGATGAATGGTTTCTTGAGCCGAGCCGGGTCGCAAACTCCTCCAAATTCCGTCCGTTCTATTGCAACAATTTGGATGGGAGCGGTTGACGTTGGTACCGTTGGTCATAGCATGCTTTCGTCCATATGTACAGGCGCTATTGGGTGAATGAGTGTTTGGAAGCGATTTTCGGTACGTCGCGGATTTGGATCAATACCCTTCATTTGGAAACATATTCCGCGGTTCACAGGCAACTGATTGGTGGTGTCACCACCCGATGAATCACACACCCCACGGCGCACGGTCGTGGTGACGGCGGCAAGAATGGGTGCGGAAACGGGCGCGCTACCGACCCACCAGATACCGTCCTCCCTGTCAGCGAAGAAGAGGGATCGACCGATCTGTCGGTAATTCTGAGTGAGTATCGACAGTTTTACTCTTGTACGGAGTGTGGTGCCCAGGTTTTTTGTTCAACAGTGACGGAGAGGAGGTGGAGGGCACGCTTGCGAAAATACTCTACGGACGTGCGAGAACAGACTGAAAGAGAAGGGATGCTGCTCGAGATGTTTGGTTATCTAGAGCAAAACGAGGGAGAGCTAGGATGGGTGGCGCAAGAGTCTTTTCCACAACATCCACCTAGCGGGAGACCGTGTAGTATGTCAATACTCTGCCGAGTGACCCCAGGCACTCCCCCCGTACTCCGTACGAGACACGACTTATGAAGAAAGAAAACCTCCTCACGAACTGCTGGGTAAAACGAGACTATATTCATCCGAAGAACTCCCCTTAGTCCTGACACCGTCAACTTTGTTGCCCCAAAGCACTGTAGTACTAGCATCTCCCGAGTTCGTTGAATGTTCAGATTTGAACTCACCTGAAAATACGTTTCAACGATTTGCTGACCAATTCATGTACCCGTACGGAGTACTAGGTGTAGACTGTATGTTTTTATGATATTACAACCCCTTTTCCCACAAACGTCATCCAGAAACCCCAAACGGCAACAAACAGAAAATAAAACGAACAACCCGCATGTCTATCATACCAGAAATATCCACGTAGTCCCTGGAGGCTCTATTCATCAGTACTCTGCCTATTATAGTGCCCCCAAACGTGCTCACGCTTGGCTGGTTGAGCGTTCTGAGTGTCTTCCCCCGTAAGCTATATTCGTTAGAAGTGACATTGAACAACCGTGATGCACTCGCTTTCCGCCGCGCGTGTTCCTCGTTTACTCGAATTCGTTCTCCATGTCCTCCTCGCAGCAGTCTTCGGCCTCGTGACTCTTTCCCACATATGATTTACTCTTCCTGGCTCCTGACTGGACCTGGCGGGCTGATATTTTCGAGGGGGTGGAAGGCTGCGGCGTGCCTGCCCAACCGCAACAACCGGTGAAGTTACGCCCCTGCATCGTGGGCGCACCCCCACGCGCCTGAAGGGTGCTGATGAAGCAAAGTCCCCACGCTAGCAGGAGTAGCTCTTGAGGGCCGAAAACGGGAGCCAACAGCGCGAAAAAAAGGAACATCGAGCGAGGTGGTGGCATGGTGACAAAGAACAGATTCTTGGCTCTGTACGACTGTCATCGCGGCAAGAGTTGTGGGAGTGTGGAAGCTCTCCCGTCAGCACCGCTCGAGTCGCACCATATCCGCCTCGCAGAGCGAAGATTTTTCAGTTGCCAAGAATGCACGATTCGACGACAAGCCACCTGAACGCCTGCCGGTCGAAACGAAGAATCTCCCGGCGAGCGCTATACGTACTTGACGCACGGTAGCTTTCAGGCGGGGGGAAGATGTCGGATGTTACAGAGGGGGGAACAGGGGGTGTGAGGGCTCGCCCCCGTTCAGATAGAGCGGGAGCTATTGTGCCACGTTAAGTACAACTAATGCCATTTCTGTTCGGCCAAGGGCGTTGCGCGTGAAAGCTGGCCTGAGACACATGGCAGCTGCCCTGGCCCCGACTAGAGGGAGGGATCAAGTATCTGCATGGCTCAGGTACTGAACGTAACCAAGCAGGTGGGTTCGGAGCATCAAGCGGGTGCTCTCTGAAGGTCACTAATGGTCCTTCCACTGAAATTCACGCCAGGACAGAGACTTGGACTCTTCGAAGTAGGCCCGCCCCCCGCCCCTGACCATCGTCAGTTCCAGCATCGAACGTTGTATGGTAGCAGACCTACTGTTGTATTTTCTCTGGGTCAACCTCGCGGAATCTACTCCTCTCTCTGTTGGCGATAGTCCTGCTACAACGCACCCCAGAAACCGCCGACGTTTCCCAGGAAAGTTCCCAACAACTGAGGCTCGATGTCCTCCACCTCGGTCAGCGAGTACGAGCCCTGGGATATTTGGAGGTACAGCAAGCCTATGGCGTGGTCGCCGGAGCCGGACGCGTCGTCGGCTCCACCGTCGTCGGTTTGACCTTCGTCGTCGTCATCGGACTCGAAGGAGCGCTGCGGAGGCAAACGGCGGGTTCACAGGCGTGCCAGGGGGTGGGAGTGAGGCTATCTGACTTTTCTCTGAGGAACAAGATCACATGCACGAAGGCGCCAAACACGCACAGACGCACATGTGTGCAGTACTACGGTGGACGCAACGACAGGCAGCAACGTCCTACGCCCCCAGCGCCTTTCCCGGGGCCGCACTTTGCACGTTGAAAGAATGCGGTCTGTCAGGAAAAGCACGGGTTACATAAACCTGACAGACCGTTCCCGATATCTGTATCCACGAAAGAACCACGCTAGAAATGCGCCTGCTATTGAGAGCAAATTCGATTTCCGAGAGGGAACTCACCTCCGGCACGACGTACTTCGTGGTCGAAACCGTCAGCGCAGGGTAAGTGGTGACGGGATCTTTGTCTAGGAAAGTTCGGTGAGTCTTGCCAATCGTCTGGAGAGCAGCATCACCAAGTGCGAGGATCAGCGCGGAGAGGGTAGACTAGAGCCTTGCCATACACAAATGGCCAGGACTCGTTATTAGGCCAAAAACAGAGACAGACGCTGCTACCCTTACGTTCAGACCCTCACACGGCCGACGAGGTGTTGCACAGAGTGCCAATCTCAAGGCTCAACACGTCCGAGCCGCCAACATCGTCCGGTCAGTTGAGCAGCGGAGGCGACATGCCCTCCCTAACCTGCACCCAAATTCGAAACGCCTCACCATGGCCGAAATGGCGTATATCTCCTCGGTCGACGATTCCAGGTTGCGACTGTAGGGCACCGTCGTGATCTCCTCGTTGTCATCGGGTCCCCCCAGGACGACCTCGACCGATTCGCTGGGGGGGGGGGTCCAGTTGGCGAGGACACCAGGCAATCACACACACCTCGTGATGTGGTACAGCACGCTGGGTGGTGGCGACTCTTGGGATGCGTGGGGAAATAGATGGCAGGTGTTGGACTACCATGCCTCTTCTTCCTCTTCTTCCTCTCAGCACTTCCTCTGCCAACTCCTTCTCTGCAGTGACGCTATGAGCGCGCCACCAGCAGTATCCATGGCATTGTCCCCAGTGATAAAGAAAAGAAGGCGGGGCTCTCCCGACAAACTGTCTGTCTGCGGGCATCCGCCTATGTAGTGTCGAAAGTTCCCGAAACTCAAGTCGACCGGAGATCATCTGTGAGCAGCATTTCAGACATGCTTTCTGAGCTTTCTCTCTTACCTGTATTCTGTCTCGGCAGTAGGGTCCTCGCTCGCAATCCAGTACATCTTTACTCCCCTCGGTTCGGCGGTCGAAAGCACACCCAAGGGTGATTGTCATCGGAACCGGACGAAGCGGCGTGCATGCACAGCCCAAGCGGTTTGGGTGACTCCAGAAGGAAGGCAGTAACTCTAGTATCCGCGCTTGGTACGAAAGCAACCCACAAACAAGCGTTGATACATCGGAGCTACTGTACAAGCGTAGAACGATTCGCGTTCTGGTTCAACGAATCTTGTGCTGCTCCTAGAAGACCTAGAACACAGGATGGAACAACGCATCGAGAACCGCCGGGTCTTTGTTCCGGCCACAGTCCAGCTGCCCCCGCCCGATGCGAGCAGCGTGGAAGGCCAACGAGAAGTTAAACAACGAGTCTATCTTGACGGAATCCGCACGTCGTTCTGGCGGTTGCATTCGAAACTATTAGGCAATCATGCCCCTGTGATCTTGAAATCCATCGGCGATGCCTGGCAGCCAACCGTCCGCGTCACCACAACAGACTTTGGACTTACCACAAGCAGCACCGACTGCTGTGGCCCCTCCCGTTCACCTTCGGGCACTTCGAACTGCGACAGGTCGAATCCCACACAATTTGGGAACTGGAGGGAACAGGGGGGTGGCACAGCACCGGGGTTCGGGAAGCGGGGGGGTTCTGGCGAGGAGTTGACGTTTGTTGGTTAGGCCAGGGCGTGTGCCTTCATTGTGCAGTGCACCCGCTTATCGGAAAGGGCCACGAATGCGTTATGTTTTTGTTGTCGTTGCGTGCATGCTCGTTTTGGTGTGCTCTAACGCGCAATACCAACGACTTCAAGAGTGAACACAGACTCTGATCATATTGAACCGTGGTTAGGCGCCACTTTTCGTTGCAGTAACGGTTGAGGTTGGATTTCAACGCCCCTCGACAACACGCGTGTGCAGGAGCACACAGAACCCCCCCCCCGACCTGTTCGTCTGCGATAGCTTGGATCGTTTCGCCCTCGTACTCGGCATCGGAGTACTGTATCGCAGACTGGACGCAATCGTCCGTGGACCCGTATGGGTGATAGCAGCCGAACCCGTCCTCCAGGCACACCGATACGTACGGAAACGCGAACCTGTCGTTCTGGCCGGCAACAAGCAGAAACGAGGCGGCACCACGGACAACGCACGGAAACGAAGGTGGACTTTCCATACACGATGAAAAACACAAGACATCACGGGCGCGCCGTATGCGCATGCGCCACCTGCGCGGGTACCGCCCACGCAGGCGGGTACTCAAAACTAGCGTTCGAGGAGGAGTTTGGAAAGAAGGATAGCATCCGCGGAAGAACGGTTTTGGCGATACAGGACAAGACCAGTTGACGGCAACGGTGGAGACCATCGCATTTTTTTCCAGAGGTGCAAACTACCCGGCAAATGTTCATCTTACCGATACGTTGAACGCCGTGCTAGGATGCTCTTGCTGGTTGATCAACACAATGATCTGCCATATCGTGTCTGCGTTGATCCGTGCGAAAAACAACGAAATTCGAAAATACGAGAGGGTTGGCCAGTCGGA